GTGAGGTTCTGTAGGTCAGTGAGGTGCTGAAGGTCAGTGAGGTTCTGTAGGTCAGTGAGGTTCTGAAGGTCAGTGAGGTACTGAAGGTCAGTGACGTTCTGTAGGTCAGTGAGGTTCTGAAGGTCAGTGAGGTTCTGAAGGTCAGTGAGGTTCTGTGGGTCAGTGAGGTTCTGTAGGTCAGTGAGGTGCTGAAGGTCAGTGAGGTTCTGTAGGTCAGTGAGGTTCTGAAGGTCAGTGAGGTTCTGTAGGTCAGTGAGGTTCTGAAGGTCAGTGAGGTTCTGAAGGTCAGTGAGGTTCTGAAGGTCAGTGAGGTTCTGAAGGTCAGTGAAGTGGTCAGTGGTTTTTGCCCTACCGCTGTCATGTTGTGCAACGTTTACAAAACGTCTCCTGCAAATTAAAGGTGTTCAAGGTCGTTCTGTCGGTGATGATGAACTCAGTTCGCTCACATCTATTCACATTTCTTGCTCCCTACACACTTGAAGAAATGAAACCTGGAGCCTGAAGCGAGGAGCACGTTTCTAAATCATTATGTAAGATTGTTAAGATGATAAACAATCAGTTTGTAAGCTCAGTCATCCAGGTAGATAAATACAAAAAAGGTTCAATCATATCATCTGGATGTTTTTTTTCCCTCTGATGTCATGATTTAACCTTTTTTGTATTATATATAATAGTTTATTTTCTACAAGTTTTTAAGTAATAGACATTTATCATCAGTCAAGCCAGTTTTTTCCACTCAAATGCTTTTTCTTTCAACCACCGTTGTGTTTATTTGTGTTTGTTGCACGTGTTTAGGTACAAGTCTCTGTGTCCGGACACGTGGCCTAACTGGCAGGGGAAGCTGGCTGATGGAGTGTCCACACTGGTCAAACATTTGGGGTACAAACCAGAGGAGTACAAACTGGGCAGGTCAGCAGCACACACATAAAGGACCCGCAGGTCTCAGATCAGTCTGTGCACGTAGAAAACTGACTGAAGAGACGAGCACTCGGTCTTCACATGCCAGCTTGAACATGTTAGATGTTTTACTTCTTTTTCATATAGAAGCAAAATCTTCATCCGGTTCCCAAAGACGCTGTTTGCCACAGAGGAGGCACTGGAGACCAGAAAACATAGTCTTGGTAAGAGTCAGTCATGTCAGAAAGAATTGTTTGAATATTTTATTCAACACCTGCTGTGCTGCAGGTTTGATTTATTTATTTTGCTTGTTTTATTTATCGCTGCTTCCTCACAGCCACCAAGCTACAGGCAGGATGGAGAGGCTACAGCCAGAAAACCAAGTACCAAAAACTCAGAACTTCAGGTGAGGAGCTACTGCTTCCCTCCACCTAACACAGCGAGCATATCCAGCAAACTGCAACAGTTTAAACGTTTTGGTTTGGTGTATTTGTCTGCTGCGTGCAGCCATTGCAGTCCAGGCATGGTGGAGGGGCATCCTGGCCCGGAGGAGAGCCCAGCGCAGGCGGCAGGCTGCCAACACAATACGCAGGTACGACTCGTATCTGAGCCCGACCAGCAGGTGGAGCTGTACACCGCTTCAGACCACAAGTGTGTGGCAAGAATAGAGTCCGGGTGATGTGGAAACG